TTATTGCAAAATACCTCTATTGACAATAATATTTCGTACATATCAATTACAAACATTCAGGATAATATAATACAAAATGCAAGCTCCAAAACATGGCTACAACTCAATTATCAAGAACATACATGTTTTGCATTAAAAAATCAATAATAAAAACAATTCTTCACAGAGCTACCTAACATCAGTCATTCCAACTAAAAAATGCATTAACAACAGATTAAAAAAATACAGTTTTGCATTAAAAATATAATAACATGCATTTTTTTGCATAAATAATCTATCAACCTACAATTCTTTCAACAAAAACTTTAACAATAAAAATTTTAAATATGGTTTAATACCTCATGATAATTAAAACCTTGTCACGATTTTCACATCTTTTCGGAAAATCATCATTTTTCAAAAAATTCGATCATGGAAAAAAAAAAAAGTACAGCAAACTCAACCAATAAAAATTAAAAATTGGGTTTAATACATCATGATAATCAAAACCATGATTTTCACATCTTTTCGGAAAATCATCATTTTTCAAAACATTTGATCATGGATAAAAATAAAATAAAAAAACGGTACAGCAAATTTTCAAAAAATTCGATCATGGATTACAAAAAAAAATTCGATCATGGATTAAAAAAAAAAAAACAAATTTTCAAAAAATTCGATTATTGATTACAACAAAAAATTCGATCATGGATTAAAAAAAAAAATCACAAATTTCAAAAAATTCGATCATGGATTAAAAAAAAAATCACAAATTTTCAAAAAATTCGATCATTGATTACAAAAAAAATTCGACCATGGATTAAAAAATAGAAATCACAAATTTTCAAAAAATTCGATCATGGAAAAAAAAAAATCCCAAATTTTCAAAAAATTCGATCATTGATTACAAAAAAAAATTCGATCATGGATTAAAAAAAAAAATCACAAATTTTCAAAAAAAATGATCATGGATTAAAAAAAAAAAATCACAAATTTTCAAAAAATTCTATCATGGATTAAAAAAAAAACTCACAAATTTTCAAAAAATTCGATCATGGATTACAAAAAAAATTTGATCATGGATTAAAAAAAAAATCCCAAATTTTCAAAAAATTCAATCATGGATTACAAAAAATTCGATCATGGATTACAAAAAATTCGATCATGGATTACATAAAATTTGATCATGGATTACATAAAATTCGATCATGGATTACAAAAAAAAACAAAAAAAATTCGATCATGGATTAAAAAAAAAGAAAAAAAACAATTCGATCATGGATTACAAAAAATTCAATAATGGATTACAAAAAACTCTATCATGGGTTACAAAAACAAAAAAAACAAAAAATTCGATCATGGATTACAAAAAAAAAAAAACATTTCGACCATGGATTTCAAAAAATTCGATCATGGATTACAAAAATTTCGATCATGTATTACAAAAAATTTGATCATAATTTACAACAAAAAAAAATAAAAATAAAAATTCTGTTTTTCATAGAGCCATCTTACATAAGCCATTTTAACTCAAAAATCCACCTGTAAGTGAATAAATTACATCCAATTGAGTACATTTTCTGATAAACAACAATATAAGGAATCAAAACCTTAAATTTTGAACACATTATCATCAATAAATCAAATCAAATCGATTAAATTGAGCAAAAAAAAAAAATGTAGTTCTTTTCTTCACAAATAGTCATTGAATCTAAAAAATGAAGCTCAATTTGAATAAATCAGATCAAATTGAATACATCTAATTATAAACAACACTATAACAATTAAAAACGCTAGAAATCTAACACATTATTTCGAATATATCATGAACAAAAAATCGAAAGGCGGAAACAAAAAAAAAAAAACAGCACAAATTTTTTTCCACAGACATCTCTGTGTTCATCCAAAAATTCATTCGGTAATTGACCAAATTACATAAAATTGAATATGTTAAATCATAATAGACACAATAAAGATTAAAAACCCTACAAATTGAACTCATTATCTTCAAAATATGCAGTGAAATTAATCATATGGCGGAAAAAAAAAAAACCCAAATTTCTTACCTGGTTTTGTGAACCGAAGCCTTCAATCTCCAAATAACTCTGTTTTTCTCAACGATTATCAAAAATTTGTAACAGAAGGTTTGATGAACAACTTTACGATCAAAATGCCTACAAATTTTGACAGATTCATGCCCTATTTGACATGAAACACAAGGAAAGGCGGAAACCCTAAAAATGCAACTTTCATGATCCAAAAACACAAAATTTCTCAACCATTTAATCCGTCCAAAAAGCTGAATAAAGCTGTTTAAAGCCTGTTAGATCACATGCCAAAAAAAACAAGAAAAATGATAAAAAAATGACAAATTTTGAAGAATCCCATGAAGAACACTGTGCAGCCGTGTTCTTCACGGGACGTGCCGATTCCGTACAGTTACTCGTCGAGTCACTGTACAGAATCGCGATTCCCGGTTTTTTGAGCGATTTGAGACGCCTACTGTTGATTCCCGAGTCGAACCGGGCGAGTCCGATTCGACTCGGCGTTTTTTTAAACACTGATCAAAAGTAATCGGTCTCATTGTATACAATCCTAAAAAAAAATTGGGTGCAAACTAAAAAATGCAACTTTTTTATTTTAATAATTCTTTGGCCTCAATTGACTGCTTAAATACTCTCGGTCTCTCTGCAACTTGATCTCTCTAAAAATTCTCTCTAATTAGGCACAATGGCATGTCTCTAAACCCTCACACTGCCCCTCTATACCTCACATCATTTGCAACCCTCTACCTCTCTCCTCACCCACCACCACCTATCATAGGACTTAAAGCTTTTCCTAATCCTAGTACAAATCCAGGTAGACCCTTATAGACACCTGAGTGAAAATGTTAATGGGACAGTAGTGTAAATGGACTCCAAATACTAATTCTTTGGACTTGGTGGGCTGCTGTCATACTCTTTTTCTCTCTCTACAAATTTTCTCTCTATAATAAGACATGGTGGCCACTTTCACCCTTCTGCCTAATTTTTTCTCTCTGGACCAAGGTTCGGTGGCCTCTGTATAAACCCTCACGCTGCCACTCACGCCACCCTTGTCTTTCAACCCTCTACCTCTCTTATCACCCACAACCATCTATTTATAGGACTTCAGCTTTTCCAAATCCTAGTAGAAATCTATGTAGACCCAC